AATATTCTGGTATGTACTTTTTCAAGAAAATGTTACAGACTGGATTAGATCTCAACTTTTGACCTTTACATATACAGATAACTTTATTACTCTTTAGTCGTTAGTGACAGAGAAATCCAAACCACCTTTGCAAGCGTGCAGTCCTATCCAAATGCATTGAGAGCTTGAGTTTCTGAGATCTAGGTCACAAGTCCACCTGTCACTTAATCTCCTGAGTGATATCATTAGATCTGCATTTCTATCTCCTTTTTCTTTCTTTCTTTTTTGTGACAGGATCTTTCTGTGTAGCTCAGACTGGACTGGAATTCACTGTATCACCCAGGCCGTCCTAGACTTGATATTCTTTCTGCCTCTGCCTCTGCCCATGCCCCTGCCCCTGCCTCTGCCTCTGCCTCTGCCTCCTCTGCCTCTGCCTCTGCCTCACAGCTGCTAGAATTACAAGCAGGATCTGCCCACCATCATGGACAAATGCTCCTTTCTCATCTGCTGCCTTCATGTACCTGTATCCAAATCTCTTTGGTGATAGAGAATGAAAATGTGTCTCATCTCTGCTCTCTTCCATGGATCACCAGTTAGGCTGCATTTCCGTTCCCAGTCTGAGCATCACACTCAGGTTCTGATACAGGTTTCAAGGACTGCTTTTTGTCCCTTGAGCCCCTGCCACCTGAAAGCCAGCAAAGCCACAAAATCTCCTATCCCCCCCTTTAACTAATCTTTAAAGCCTAGAAGCCACCGCCTTTAACTCCTATACCACTCAGCAATGGCCTGTGAAGCTCACACGTGCTCCTGGGTAGGAGAGATTAATGTGCAATGACTAGAGACCAGATTTGTTTAATTTCATTGTGTATGTCTCCCACAGCACCCGGCAGATTCCTAATCACATGGTGGATATAGCAAGTGCTTATTAATTGATTAATTTACAACAGGGGAAGTAAATTATATAAATGAATTATCACTGTGAAGAGCACCAGAGCCTGTACATGAGCGTTTCAGTTAATTTTAAGATTGTGTTCATTAAACGAGGGGTACAAATGAATTACAGTGTTGTAGGCATTTACATGATCGATTCTAATAACCACACAATTATAATATTTACCATTTTCCCTAGTTTGTACAAACGAGTTTCAATTTTAAACATTCCAGCTTCCCTCCATTGAATTGGCGTCACATAGATTAAGCAATGAATAATACCAAATGGTAGCAGACCCAAGCGTACGACATCATCTGCCTGTCCCCTTGTCTCATGTCCGTCCTGTCTTTACAGGAGTTCCTCACTAGCGGTCGAGCCTGCTATAATGTTTGCATGCGCTTGACTCTTTAAAGATGAAACCTCCCTGGTCACGCAGAAGTTCTGCCGGCCGGCGGCAACTGGCTTTTGGGAGCCCGTTCCCAGTTCCCTTTCTCCTCTCCTTACCTTGCCACGTTCATTCCAGGTCAGTTTTCCCTAGCTTCCCTCCAGTGAGTCCCCTGTCCTGCCCCATTTCTGCAGGCCTCACCTTACCATAAGCCTCCCTTCGCTGTCCGTCAACCGTTTGCCCAGTGTCTTCCTGTCGCTCACTGTTGCTGTGATAACATCCCCTAGCAAAGCCAGCTTGGGGGAGTTTACCTTAGCTCACGATTCCATGGTGTACCATGGCAGGGCAGTCAAGGTGGTGGGTGCTTGAATCAACTAATCAGCCCCACAGTCAAGGGCAGAGAGAATGTGGTGCAGTGCAGTCCACATTTTAGGCTGACTCTTAGAGCATTAGTTAAAGGTACTGAGATAATAGCAACCACCCTGCCCGACAGGCCAGCTCTCTCTCTCTCTCTCTCTCTCTCTCTCTCTCTCTCTCTCTCTCTCTCTCTCTCTCTCTCTCTCTCTCTCTCTCTCTCTCTCTCATGTCTCTCTGAGAATTTCTTCCCAGATCATATTAACAATTAAAACCAACCATCGCACACTTGTTCTTAAAGTTTACAGGGGCCTCAATGTTCCTTAGATCCTAGAGCTTAATCTACACCAATCCTGGCACCTGTTTATTTGGGGATTTGTTTTCAGCTGTACTTCCTCATAGCTGATGCAATCAAGGCACATAGCTTCAGGTTTAGACGGATGCTTACCTCTCTCCGAGCTCGGAACACAAATATCCAAACCAGATTTTCCTACTCCTTCACGTGACTCCCTCAGTGTCCTACTCTGGCGTGGCAATCGTATTCCTTGTCCCTGTCATGAGCCCAGATCGACCCTGTCTTCTGTCAGCGTCTGTGGTGGAAAGTCTGGAAGTCACCCTTGACCAGTCCCTGCCTTGTCACGGAAACAGCCAACACCCTTGTCTGTTGTCCTCCCTCAGATGTTGTGTTCTCCCCGTACCACGCCTGGTCACCTGCTAACCAGAAGTCTGCTTCTGTGGCTCCCGCTTGCTAGCTAAGGCATCTTAGTCGCTTCTCTTCTTCACACGCGGGCTTCACTTTCCTCTGCAGGACAGACCTAGATGCCTTAATAGTTGCTTACAGAATCCCCAATAATTAGGTGACCACCTGGTGCGCTCCACAGCCCCGTTCACCTCTGTGTCAGCACCCGCTCTGTAGCACGCCCACCCTGGACCTAGAACATTGCACAAGACTTCCATCGTGTGTCAGCTCTTTGTAAGCACCCTCTCTCTGCCCAGAATGCCTTTTTCTCACCTTCCCCCAGCCTAATTCCCCTAATTCAAGGTCAACTTAATCATGACTTTTTCCAGAGGGTTCTTTGTTCTCTTAAACAAGATTTGGGGGAACCCAATATATGTTTACAGGATTATGTATTTCCTTACTAAATGTTGTATTTTATAGCAGACTGTTTTAATTTACCCAGCCCACATCAACTATAAACCCCATGAAGGTCAGATCCCCAGAGGTCCATTTCTCTTTGAAACCTGGAGCAAACATATGATTTGGGGTGATCTCCTTTGCTGTTACTTTAACTGCCAACTTGACACAGCCTATGTTATCTGGGGAAAGAGTCTCAGTTGAGGAATTATTGAAATCAGATTGCCCTGTGACTGTCTGTGGAGATTGTCTCGACTGTCCATCGCTGTAGAACATTCAACCCATTGCGAGCAGCATCGCTCCCTAAGCAAGGCCCTGAACTGTGTGAGAAATCCAGCTGAACAAGCAAGTGGGCAGCATAGATATGCCCGTTCAGTGGTCCCTGAAACCAGAGCCAAAGTGTGTTTCTTTCTCTGGTCCTTTTTAGCCTTTTGGCTCCAATTTTAGGGCCAGGGTGCATTTCTTTCACTGACTGTTATTCCAGTGACAAAGTGTGTTCCTTTGACACTGGTTTCAGGGTCAGGGTACACTTCTTTGCTTCTGGTGGCAGGGCAAAAATGTGTTTCTTTGGCTCTGCTCAGGGTGTGTTTCTTTGGATGGTCCCTTTTCCCTACATTGTCTACAGATGTTATGTGACTAGCTGAACAGGCACGTGGGCAGCATAGATATGCCTGTTCAGTGGTTCCTGATTCTACATAACATCTGTAGACAAGAATTGAAATTCAAATAATCTCTTCATTCTCATAGTTGCTTTTTATCAGGCCATTTGTCACAATAACAGGAACAAACCGAGAAAATTATCTTTACAATAAAAATACAAAACATTACCTATATAAAGTCTCCACTCCAGTATAAAATATTTATTATGACACAAAAACCACAGCGAACTATAAAATTATGAAAATTGGTGACATGACGATATGAGACTGTGGGCATGCTACTAGGGAACCTCTCTGGAAGCCCACAACTTGAACTTCCCTGCATTCCTAATTAAACCCCCATGCTTATGCTAGACTTTTTCAATGTTTACCTTCCAGTACCAACAGCAGTGGTTACTATTTACCAGATACTCTATGTTTTTAAACTGAATTATCTTAATATTGCTAATGCATATTTTAACAGGTTCTTGCATGAATTCATTTTTGCTTGTTTATTGAGACAGGTTCTCACTGTGTAGTCCCCACTGAACATAAATTGAAGATCCTCCTGCCTCAGGCTCCTGAGGTTTATAGACACCTGGCTTCACACATTCAATTTCTAAAATCAGTTTAATATATTAGAAAATTTGTTCTTATAGACACTTCATTCAATTTCTTGCTATATCCTATTTCCAGTGGTTAACTAATGTGCATTATTGATTATATTACTAACACATAGATGGCTACTATGCAGAGTATCTACCTTATGTTTTATTAAGCAAACAAATATTTCTATGTCTCCATCAAAAGTACACAAAATAATCCATGTATATACCTCTAGTGTCGGAACTTTTATAGAATCTATGATGAGAAAAACAAGATTAATTTGAACCATATTTTAAAGACACAGTTTTGAAAGATCAATTTGACTGCTGCCTTTAAAATATACTTTTGTCAGCATTTATCTCCAGAACACAAAGATGTCAACGTTTTCCATAATGTCAAAATGAAAAGAAAGACCAAGCATGAAGTGTTTTCTTGACTCTGAATTTGTCCATGACCCATTAAAGAGATCATTTTAATCCGAGCCTTAATACAGCCTTCGAAAGACTGGTTAATGGTTTAAATCTTTGGTGCTTAGTTCGTTAAAATAAAAGTGAGTTAAGTTCCTTCGACAGTAAGACTGAAAAGTTGGCAAGGAAGGATTTGCTGTGCTCCTATCGAGGCTGTAGTGGCGTGTGTGTCTGTGTCTGTGTCTGTGTGTGTGTGTGTGTGTGTGTGTGTGTGTGTCCCTGTCCAAGCACAGCCTCTGCACTGCGCACCCCCCAGCCCCCCATTTTCCTAAATACATCATGAAAAAAGGATGAGGTTTCAGCCTTAATTGCTTGCTCCTTTTATTCGCATTCCTCTCCCAGCCAGGGTTGTGAAGAGTTGGTAAAAGGCTGCACAATGGATCTTTTCATTAGGCCCCAGCCAGGCACACAAAGGCAGGCTTTTGGAAAGAGTGAATGCAGGAGTTTAATTTGCAGGTGGAGAGGAGATAAAAGGTGCTGACGCCTCTATTATTCTCTTACTTAGGTGACCCTTACCCTGTTCAGCTGATCCCAACCACCATGGCAGCTGCTGCTGCAGCCACCCCAGGCTTAGGCCCACTCCAGCTGCAGGTAAGTCTGGGGACAACTCAGGGACTGTAGGGGTTAAGTAAACGCAGAAGACAGCCGCTGTTAGCACAAAGGACAACTGAGGGCTGAGATTTAGGGCACACAGCCACCGCTGCTTTGTTTTCTGTTTTCTGTTCTGATCCCCACCCTCGAAGATGACTACCAATTTTGGTTGTGGGCTCTGCACTTAATCTCACCGTATTTTTTTTTTTTTTTTTTTTTTTTTTTGCCATGTCCTGGTAAGGTTTAGCAAGGCGAGCAGCTCCAGTGTTGCTCTTGGTAGTGAGCAGCATGAGTTTGTCATAGAGTGGTCTCCACGAACAACAAACAGGCTGTCCGGGTTTCCTAACCACGCCTATGGTCCCAGGCAACTGAAAGAGAGTTTCATTTAAAGGCATTGACAGTTCCTGGTGTTAGTAGAGTGTCCACAGCCGTTTGTCCCCCTCGCTTTACTGCAGATCATTAGAGCAAGCTAAGAAGAGCAGAGCAGAGTCAGCAGGTGTCCATTTGAGCTTGAGTTTTATCCTGACCTCCTAATAGAGACCTTTTTTGCCCTTCAGATTGTATGTTTCCAGTACAGCCTGGAAAGTCAATAGCCTTACCAGATGTCCAAACGATTTCAGAAATTATGCCTCTGAGGTTGGAAAGAGAATCAATATGATTTTAGTAGAGAGAACTTTTCTTATCTCAGTTTCTGGATTGGTACCCCATGAAACATTCCATACGGCCCATTCTTGTGAGCCTTTGAATTATGCGATTAATGAGAAGAGACGATAAGCTAATATGAGGTTCTATCTCCCGTTTTACAAGCCTGGGAAGCACACCATGCAAAGCCATATGTCCTGCAGGCACACTTCATACAGTGGAATTGTATCCATGATTGTGACTTGTCATAGACAGTATGAGTCTAGATAGAGTCTTACGTTTGATCAAGAGCTAGGTACAACTGATGAACGTACATATTTGTCAGAAGACTGGAGATTGGCATCAGGAGAACCTAGTGTGAAAGCTGAGAGATTACAGCATCCATTCCTAGTTCACCTTTTCCATGGAAAAACTATACTATGGCTGTTTCTTTGAGCTAGGAATACACTGGTAAGTGTTGGGGCCACAAGGACAGTAAAATATTACTACAAGACTTGATATCCTTTTCAGTGGTGTCTGGGGAATAACAACAGTATGGGAAAGAAATTGTAATAGATAAGACACCAAGATGTGGAAAGATACACTCATTGTCTATATGTGTGATGGGTAAAATATTTTTTGTGACCTTTTCAAAGAATGGCTTACGTTACCTGACATACAAGCATCTATGCCTGTAGGCAATAGAAAACGTCTTTTGTAATGAAGCCAGAAGAAAAGAGTCTTTTAGAGGCGGGACAAGAATAGGGGAAGTGAAAGAGAAAGGAGGACCAGCCTCGGGCACAGATTTGAATGTGGAGAGAGAAGTTTTTGAGACCTAGGATACAGGTTGAAAGTTTCCACCTGCTGGGAGTTGCTGGAGAGAGAAGGTGACCACAAGATGATGTGCCAACTGAGTCTCACTGCCATTCTCCGTCACAGAGTAGCAGGGCTCAGCGTCTAAGCTGCTTTTCTGTAAGGATATATTAGGATGCTTGATATAAACTAAGTTTGACTTCCATTCTGATGTCTTTGGTGTTACCAAGATTTAAAGAATTTAGAGAAACAAGGGAAGTCTTTGAGACCAAACAGGTTTGCTCTTCTGTAAACATAATTTCATCTGCAGCAGGGCAAGGGTCATTTCTTTCCCCTTAATAATGGGGTCTTGCTAAGTTCCTCAGTCTACTCTTGAATGTGTCCCACTGCTGCCTAGTCTTGAGCATATAACCCTCCTACCTGGTTCTTAGAAGAATTTCAGGTATGCATCCTCGTACCACCTGTGAAAGGTTTCCATGTACCTGGTTGTGCTGGTTGTGTATCCATTAAAGTTTCTAATTTTAGTGAGGATCTCAAATAACCCGAACTGTAACTCTAGAAATTATACTGTAATGTAAGAAAGTTGGCTATCAAAACATCTTCACAGAAAGCTGTGAGTACTCATAAAATGTCGTTACGTACGCATGTGCACATAACTTAATTTTGCAATTACAAACCAGGGGGGCGGTATTCACAAGTAATCAAATTCCAAAGGCTTGCCGTTTCGGGGCTTCTAGGCTGTCGCCGGGTGGCTTCTGGCCTATTTACTGCAGAGCCTGAATCCCTCAACTTGATTTCGTCATGCTCCACACCTACAAAGACACGCGTCATCTGCTCCCCACCCGCGCTGTAGACCTTCCCCAATGGGACAGAGAGGAGCTATAGTCTTAACACCTATAGCACATCAGCCTCCATGGGGAAAATGCTTCTGAGATGCTCTGCCTGAAGGGAGTGTAAGACAGGAACCACTTCCAATGCTTTCCAGACTTTGCCAGGAAATCTGTGAGGCCCCACTGCCCATCTCTTTACAATGCCTTCCGTGGGCTCCTTATTCCCTTCCAGGGTTTAGACTTCGGTCCTGCCAGAAACTCCACTCACATGTCTGGTTCACATCTCACCATCCACCTGTCTGATATTAGGTCAGAAACCCAATTCTGGAGACCACACATGAAGAAAGAGGCCACGTACGCATTTCCTTCTTGGGCGCACACACACTTGCAGAGGGGCAGACAGAAGCTGAGTGTGGGGGCTAATTGGGCATTCATTTGGAGTTTCCCAGTAATCTTGGGTAGGTGAGTCTGTCAATGAAGGTGTCCCACCTTCTTGGTGCCTGGGACCTGACCCCACTGACGGCAACCATTTGGGTATGGAGAGTTCTGCCCCTTGCTTCCTGCCCCATGCTCCTTCTCAGACAGCCTATGGAGCCTGCCTGAAGCCCTCTTCTGTGCTCTCTGTGGGCTGCAAAGGTACCAGACCTTGCGGCAAGCATCCCACCGTTCTCCATCAAACCATTCCAACTCGAGAAACCCTCAGTGGAACACATCATCCCCTTTGTTGCACACACACCTAGTCTGTCCAGCCGTGTTCTCCTTAGCACTGTCTTGTCTTCCTACTGCGTGAGGTTTGGGGTTTGTAAGTTCTCAGCCAGTCAGTGGAGAAAGAGCATTTGGGGTTTTCTTTTCGTCTGACGTCTCCAAGTTCTGCCTCCTCGCTTGGGTGGATGAAAAAGAATGTCCTCTCTCTCTTATCTCTCTCTCTCTGTCTCTCTCTCTCTTTCTCTGTCTGTCTGTCTGTCTCTGTCTCTCTCTCTCTTTCTCTCTTGTTTTTCCTTTTACTTTCTTTTATTTTTTGCTTCTAAATTTATCTTTATTCAATAAATTCTGATGCTTTGGGAAAGCATAAATCTTTCTGGTTTAGGGTACTCTAAAGTGGTTATTTTTCATGCCCAGATATTTTACTGAGAATTTTTAATTTTTTTTAATTTAAAACTATCTTATTTTACATACCAATCCCAGTCCCCTCTCCCTCCTGTCCTCCCCACCCCAACCACTCCTCAAAGAGGGTGAGGCCTTCCATGGAAGAATATCAAAGTCTGTCACATCATTTGGGGCAGGACTGAGCCGCCCCCGCCCCTGCAATCCCAATATCTGGGTTGAGAGAGTATGCCTCCATAGGGAATGGGCTCCAAAAGCCTGTCTGTGCAGTAGGGATAAATACTGGTTCCACTGCCAGTGACCCCATAGACTGCCCAGGCCTCTCAACTGACGCCCACATTCAGGTCTGTCTCATGCAGGTTCCCCTGCTGTCAGTCTAGAGCATGTGAGCTCTCACTTGCTCAGGTCAGCTGTTTCTGGAAGACCCAGCATGGTCTTCAGGAAGGACGAGTTGGGAAAAAACATAGAAGGAGAGCAAGGAAAGAGAAATCTTGATAGAGGGAGCATTACGGACTGAACGAGAAAACCTGGACCTAGGGAAATTCCCAGGAATCCACAAGGATGACCCCCAACTAAATCTAAGCGATGGTGGAGACCCCCAACTAAATCTAAGCGATGGTGGAGAGGCTACCTATAGTGAGACTGATGACTGCCTTACCCGCCATCTTAGAGCCTCCACTGAGCAGCTCATGGAGGCAGAAGCAGAGATCCAAGTCTAAGCGCTGAGCCAAACTCATGGAACCCAGTAGGGGCGATGAGCAAGGGGGTCAAGGTCTCTTCTTAAAGCCATAGGCACAGTTTTGTCTCTCTTCAGCCTGCTCCCTAGACACGAGTTTCACATATATAATGGTGTGGGAAGCTGGGAAAGGAAGCATGAGACACAGTCAGAGACAAGAGGAACATGGTCCGTGTGTGGAGAACCTCTTCCAGCCAGGTTTTAGGAAAGAGAGCCTATGGTTACAGGGCTGATGGTGCCGACTGCTGCTTCTGTTTGTCTGTCTGTTTTAAAAACATTAGTTGATTCTTGTGGGCTTATTTACCTGTTTTGCTCTCTGCTACTGTTTGACCTGTTTCTATTTGTTCTGGGTGAGGAGTGGTGAGTCCAGGAGCACCCTCCCTGAGACGGCCACAGGAATGCTGAGCTGAGGAAGAATCAGGAAGGACGAGTGAGGAGTTAGTTACCCACCCCCGGCAGACATGCGCTGGTCTGAGTCTATGCTCCTTCGTGGATAGAAGGGGAGAGAAACCTTAAACAAAAATAGGATATTGTCCCTCCCCTTGGGTTCAAATACAATGGTTTCAATTTAAATAAAATGCCATAGCAACTAATGTTGCTTGCTGCTGGTGGGATTATTCATACTGTCGTAGGCGAGGATTTCCTAGGACTAGCTCATTCAATTATTGTCACAGCCTGCAGTGTTAGATATTAGCAGTTCCCTTAGACAGGGAAGACAGCTTGAGCACAGAGTTCAAATTCCACAGTCTTAAGATCATTGCGTCTGTTTCACCATGCCCAGGACATTTTATTTGCAATTCTGGATTCCTTCTCTCTCAAAGAGTTTCTGGTCTTTAGTAACTGGAGAATCAAATTGTAACCATAATTTACTCTAAGTGCCTTCTAGAACCAGTGAG